CACCATGAGCACAATCTTTGCTGTTATCTGAGTAATTATTTCTGATTTCATTTTTCCCAGATCCTCTTTTGTTGCCAGTTCAGAGAGTCCAGGTAGTTGAATATCAGATTTTTCCATCTCGTTTCCCATTGGGGTTACTGTAGGTAATCCAGAAGTCTGTTTTTGAGGCTTGTTTGTGTGTCTTCTCATTTTTCCGGGCGGGGGGGCTGCTTCTGTTGACTGTGCAGCTTACCTTCTCTGCCCTAGGAGCTTGGCATGGCGGCTGCGTTGCTTCCTTCTGGGTGCTTGGACCAGCTCAGCTTCTCTGCCCTAGGAGCTTGGGATGGCAGCGGGTGAGCTTCCTTCCAGGTGCTGGGACTGGCTCACCTTCTCTGCCTTAGGAGCTTGGGATGGTGGTGAAGGAGACTCTTTCCAGGTGCTGGGACCAGCTCACCTCTGCTTTTCAGTTTCAATGTAAATTATTATCAATATTTGACTTTATAAATGTCCATGTGTAGGGTACAGGGAGAGGGGACATTACTAGAACTCTTGCTCTAAGTCCTAGTCTCCTATGAGCCACGACAGCACAAGGTGAATTAATGAATTAAAACAGAAAATGAGACTTAGAGAAGAAGCTGAGTTTTGGGCCTGACCAGTGCTGCTCTGGGGAGCAAAGATGAAAGACCCCAAGCTTGCCACACCTGTATTGGGTACATTGGGAGTATCAGAGGACTCAGAGGATAATCCTAAAATAATAAGGAATTTATGTAGATGAAGTTTTTGTTCTTCCTCCAAATGTCTTTAGCTGATGTAATCCTGCCTGGAGCATCACAGCATCTAGCTTTTAGCTTTGGCTGGAGGGAAAATGGAGTTATCTCTTGACATGCCATAGCCAGCCTGTAGGCAGGAAGACAAGGCCTAATCATAATTTATTTTTCCCAAAAATAATGTAGTAATGCTCCCAATATCCATGTATTTTTTAAAAGTTTTTTTTTCTAAAAATTTTGCAGTTACCTTCATTTTTAAAAAATGCAAAAAGATATATTCTACACTAAATCTTCGCAGCTATGTAGCATGGTTAATGACTAATAATAATTGAGAGGATGAGAATGAGCCGAAAACACAAACAGCAGAGACTAGGTCTTTATTAGAGGCTGGGGGTGGGGAAGGTGGGGGGTGGTGCTGGCCTCTCTCAAACAACGGTGAGAGCAGTGGCCAGGGGCTGGCTAAGTGACCTCTTATATGGGCAAGGGGCATAAGGGGGAGATGACATAGTGGAGGTACATGTTTGGCTTCAGCCAGAGGTGAGGTTTAAATCCATTGTCAGGTTTGGATTTCTTGGTGGGAAGGACAATAAGTGGAAGAGCTTCGAGGTAGGAAAGGTAGGTTATTGTTTCCCTGAGTGATTTATTATCTGCCGGGAAGAGCCATTTAGGATATGAGGCTGCCAGAGCCATTTTATCTAGCAGAGAACTGTATCAATAATAATAGATGGGCCAGGATTTAGCTCAGTGGTCCACCTGGCCTGCCTCACAAGTGCAAGGTCCTGAGTTCAATCCCCAGTACCAAAAAACAAAACAAAACAAAAATAATAATAGATAATAGATGTTGATTGCTTACTGTATTCCAGCACAGTTTCAATCTTTCTTTCTCTTTCTTTTCTTTTTCCTTCCTTCCTTCCTTTCCTTTTTCTTTTTCTTTTCCTTTTCCTTTTCCTTTTCTCTCTCTTTCTTTCCTTTTTTCTTTCTTTCTTTCTTCCCTCCCTCCCTCCCTCCCTCCTTTCTTTCTTTCTTTCTTTCTTTCTTTCTTTCTTTCTTTCTTTCTTTCTTTCTTTCTTTCCTTCTTTCTTTCTTTCTTTCTTTCTTTCTTTCTTTCTTTCTTTCTTTCCTTCTTTCTTTTTCAGTACTAGTGATTGAGCCAGGGCATTCACACTGAGCAATGTCCTCAGCTCTTGTTATTTTTTAGTTTAGACTTTGGTAAGACACTGAAGTTGCTTGAACTTGAAATCCTCTTGCCTCAGCCTTCCAGAGCACTGGGATTATTAGCCATGTGCCACCACGCCAAGCCTTAATTCTTAAAAATAGTGCTCACTTAAGCAGCAC